GGGGGGGGGCTGTGAGTGGGCTAATCCCCACTTACATAAGCTGAGACATGTCGAGAGTTCCTCTGACAGAAACCGAGCAGAAAGGCAATCGGAGGTCATGTGACTGTGGGTTTTAACCTGGTTGCTCTTCAGGCTCGTCTGGTTAAGCAGCTGCTTTTATGTGAAGACTTCATCTGCCAGGAGCGGGTGGAGTACAAGCAGTGGCTCCTCACCGGCTTTCTTAAATTAGTGGCTAATGATCCTCAGGCTGTGTGGTGTCAGTGAGTCACTGCTCAGAGCTGAGTGAAAGCTGTGAACAAGTCACTGATTGTTCTGACACGAACACGGGGAGCGATGCCAAGTGAGCCGTGAAAACCAACGCAGGTTTTCAGCCGATGCTGGCTCTGAAGGGAAACACTGATCTGACAGAGTGAAAGTATTTTTGATATCAGTCTGTCTGCAGAATGCAGCAGAACCTGAAACCATCGACACGCCGTCACGTTATCACTGCTGTGATTGGTGGTTGGAAAGCTTGATGCAGCCACGCTGAAGTCGTCCATTCAAAGCGATCCTGGTGGATTGAAAGCGGACGCCTGATCATCCCGGATAATCCTCTCTGGTCATTAGACTGAGCGCGTGCAAAATTAACCGTTTCATTAATTTGACCTCACAACCATGAGGTGTTGTTTCTCTACTCGAGCACAGGCGCTGCCCCCTGGTGGCAGTTTAAGAGCAGTTTTTTTTAATCTGTTAGTTTAAATTATGTTTCAAAATAAGAGCCTGCAGGTGTTTCACTATGATGGATTATTGGCAAATAAGAAAATTAAAACTAAAGCCACTTTCACCTTTGACCTTCAGACAGTTTTGGGACAGTCAGGTTTGGATGAGTTCATTTCTCTCACAGGAGGAAACTGTGGTTTCAGACGCACACAGGCAGCGTGTCAAAGTTCATCAGGCGCCGTCTGTAAACGTTTCAGCGCTCGAAGCGTCCGATTTAACATCTTTGCACACTTTCTTTGTTCTTCTCGTTGCAGTGAGCTTCCTGCTGCTGCTGCCCGGCCTGAACCAGCACGGCATCATCACGAAGTACGCCGGCATGGCCAAGAGGGAGATCAACAAACTGATGAAGCAGAAGGAGAAGAAGAACGAGTAGATGAGCGTTCGCAGTGAAGAGGGGAATCTCTGCAAGACGAGAAAACGCAACAGGACGATGGAAAAGCGAAGAAAAAGGAGCAGGAGTTTAAAAAGTCCTCCTGCTGCCCGGGTCTCTGCACTTTGTTTTGATTTTCACACAGTTTCATTTCTCACACACACATTTAAACCTCATCACACACAAGGTTTTGTTTTGCTTTTGAATTAACCTGCCATGCATGCTGCCACCAAATGAAGGTGATCACACGTGGAAATGTCCCAGTCGAACATCATCCTTCTGTTTCTTAGATCAGCTGTGCTTCGATTGAAGGCCTCGATGCTTTCAAAGCCATTCCCTCTACTTAGACTACTGAGCAGTTTGTGTAGCGTTGCTGCCTCATTTTAACCTCAGACAGCAATGACTTTTTTTTTTTTTTGGTGGGGGGGTTAACAGCAGGCCTTTTTACGTTTTTGTGCTTCTTCTGCTTCACTTGTGTTTGAATTTAGTGCTGAAAACAAAACTGGATTTGAAGCGGAGCTGAAACTGTTCGTAGAGACAGGCCTACTGCTGTACCGCTGCTAGCTGGACTGTTAGTGCTCGGATGAACCCCCACAGTGCGTCGGCGACGTGGGGCGTCTCTGTAAATAGGCCCCGCCCTTTCTTCTCTGTCCCCGTCTGTCCTTTTCTTGTTATTTATGTGTTCGTTTCTCCTCAGTCTTCTTATTTCTGGTATTTCAACTCATTTCATTGTTTGTGTTTATTGGAGATCTTTACACACGAATAAAGTGATTTAAATGAGATTGTTTCTTGGTCTTCATGTGTGTGACCCCTGCCCTCCTTCCACACCTGCACTGTCCTTACCTGTGCAGCCCCAGTCATGTGTTTACCAATCACGGTAAGATTTTGATCTGGTGTCTGTACGGGTGACAGCTGAGGACTGTGTGTGTTGTATTTCCAAATGTATCTGGGTTGGCAGCACACCTGCGCTGTGTATTCTCTCAGGACCTCACAGCTCCACAGTGATCCGACCCACTGATCATTGGCACGTTATTGGACCACAGTGGGAGTACAGGATTGAATATTTCTCTCAGATTTGAAGCTTTTATTGTTGGTTAAACTGGGTGGGGGGCTTTCATTAGTGGGTTAGGACCCTAAATTCTGGGTCCAGTAGTGATATTTGGATGAGAGGGTGCTAGCATTAGCTGATAACTTAGCACAGACCTGCTGATTAGTAACACCCAGAATTTCACCAATATTTCTTGCCGTGTCTGTTAGTTTCTCACAGCAGCCATATTATTGGTCAGATGATGCTATAAAAATGCTAGCAGCTACAGCCACCTGTGTCTCACCTGTCCGGCTGTCAACGTGTTTCTTTATGCTGTAAAGTTGGCGGTCGACTCCCTGCTGGAGCCTCTCGTGGGTTTTGGAGTTTAGTCTTTCTGTGTTTTCCTGCCCATCTGAGCCCTTTCAGTTACAGTTGACTTATTGTTTCTGTTCACTGAGTCCTGGAGGAGAAATGTTGCTCCTGCATCATATAAGGATGCTCTGAGAAGCATCTGCAGACCAGAGTCCTGACAGGGTTTGTACATTTAATGGAGGTTTCCTGTGGCGTTACTTCCTGTCAGTAGAGTCTGCATGCAGTACAGTCCGTCTCCCAGCGTCTGGCCGCCCACAGCTGCTGATCTCTGGACCGTCTGCTGGACTTCCCCGGCTCAAACTGCTTCGGTTCACCTGCACACAGGGAATAAATGTCCAAACAGCAAAGCTAACTAAAATCAGTTTATTGCTCTGTGGATTACTTTGAAAGTATTACTTCTGTGGTAGTCCTCATATTGTATGCAGTTATTACTGGTAGTTTTTATGTTGTACACAGCAGAGATTAATTATCCTGATATTCTGTTTTTGCTGCAATTTTCTGTACAAAGCAGGATTGCTAAAACAATTTGCCTGTTAAGAAGCCGATATGATTTTTATGGCATTACTGTGGCTGAGTGCACCGCTCAGAGACGGCGCTGCGCGGTCTGTTATTACTGTGACCACAAGGACACAAGCTGTGAGCGTTACCTGTCAGGATGTCGTGTCGGTGCCACTGTGTCTGTCTGCCGCTGGCCTGCAGCGACGAGCCGCCGAACTCCGGGGTCGCGTGCTCCGTCCTGTAGGTGCTCTGGCTCTCGGGTGGATGATGCTGATGATGACTGATGAGCTCTCTGATGGCGCGGCTGCTTTTATACCGAGTCCAGAATTCCAACTTTGGGTCGACTCTCTGGAGAGAAGCAGAAGCTGGTTCTGTCCTTAATGTATAGTCATAATATTTCATGACAGCCAGTAGCTTTACTTTAATTCATGTATAAGTTATTTATTTTAACATTTAGATGAGTCTAAAAGAAAAAGTTGAAATTAAAGAAAAGTCTCCCAAACATAATTTTAATTATAACTGAGGGAAGATTTGGCATTAACTGATTTCTTCCCCTAATAAAATGCTTCTAATGCAGGTAAATGATTCACCAGGATGGTCATGTGACTCTTACTGAGATAAAAGCTGGGATGAAAAAACTGTGACTACAGAAAGACAACAGATCGAAACAACTCAGAGCTCTTAACTGTATCAACACAAAGAAATAAAGCATGTTAATATCTCCTCATTCATGCTTTTTTAAAGCAGGGAAACCTGCCAAGGCACAAAAGACGAGTTATAGAAATATGATGGAAGTAAAAATGTGAGTAGATAAAAGACTTAAAACACTCCAGAGTCTGTCTTTAACCATCTGAAAGACGGTTTTCCGCCTCACCGGAGTCACGTGCTGGGGCGCGTACAACTCTTTGCTGTGTGACTGCAGCACACTCTGCGGCGGCGTGGCGTTGTCACGGAGATCCAGCTGGCTCCGGTGCTGGAAGCTGGGGTCTCTGAGGCGGAAGACGAGAGGACGTCCATCGGCCGACCTGCCGGAATAACTCTGACCAGGAGAAGAGGAGCGGGAAGGGCTAGAATCGTACCCGAGAGCTGGATTTGTAGGACGTTTAAACTTATACATTACTGACATGTAAAATAAAACCCATTAGAACTTGTTTTCTATTTTTAGTGAAAACATAAAATCTAAGACGGTAGAGATCGACTAATCAGATGTGAACTGTAGAGACTGTACAGCGACTGTACGGAGGAGACCCCACACTGGGACAGACCTGGGTGTGGGTGGTGGTGTAGCAGGGCGCCGTGTCGCCCAGGCTCAGGGTGCTCTGATGCATGGGTCTCGGGCTAAAGCGCTGAGGTTTACGTTGGCAGCGAGGACCACAGCGGGCTGAAGCCGGGCTGAAGCCGTCCATCATCTCGTGCTGTGCCTCGGTCACAGTGCAGTCAGACCTCTGCAGCTCTGTCAGGCTCAGGTGTAGCTGCAGCTTTTCACTGTGTTTGTGCAGAAATCAATAGACCTGCTTCTTTGAGCATAAACAACACTTCACTGTTAACACTTAAAATTTTATTTATCTACATTTAGAATAACAAAAGATAAACACAACAAACCAATCATCTAATCACAATCGCAACAATTCACACACCCTGCCACTCTGTTAGGTACACCTGTCCAACTGCTCAGTGACAAATGTCAAACACATGGCATCAGCTTGTGTGTGTGAGAATGCTCTTTTTCTTTTAAGTGCACATTTAACCACCTGTTTTATTAAAAAGTCAAACTTAACAGGCCCAAAAAGACAGAAAGATGCTTCATCCAGAACCAGGAAACAAAAGGTAAAATATCCAAAAGTCTCTTTTGGAACTTGGACTTGAGCAACTTGACTCAAGTCCAAGTTCCCAGACTGCTGAAAGTGACACGACCATGGCAACCCCCGCAGACAAACTGCCTGTTTCTTCCTGTTGACAGTGAACATGTAGTACAATCACAGATGTGGTGACCTCAGCACAGTCACCACGCAGGACGCTCTCATATACAGAAAACTGACAGAGATGTGTTCGATCATTACAGCAGGAAGCACGCCTGCTCTGTAGTGACTTACCTGTGATAATGAAGCTTGTTTCTGTGGAAACGTTGCCACGGTGATGAAAACAGACGGGTTCACTTTGACATTTTCTCTCAGGAATGTGATCCTGCTTTATCATGTGCAGACCTGCCTTTTACTCCTGGACTGTTAGATGGAAAATAAAAAATATATATTTACTGTATCTTCAGAATAAAACATTTCTGATGAAACTGAATGTATTTATTTGCTCTCACAGGTCTCCCGCTATGGCGCTCCGGCTAGGTTTGTCATAACTATTATCACCATCATCATAAATGCACTCACTTTCCTTCTGAAGAAAAAACGAAAAGAAATTATTAAAATTTATTTTTATTGTTGTTGTTATTAAAATGATACTGTATTGCTATAATTACTATTAATCTACTACTATTTTGTGTTATAAGAAGTCACATCTCATCACATCTTTTGATGATGGACCATTTTCCACCTGACATAAAACTAAACATCATCGATACTGCTGCGCTCCCCCTGGCGGGCGGCGGAGGAACAGCAGCTGAAGACGGCGGCGCTAGTGGGTCGAGCTTCGTGTCGATTCGTCCTCTTCTTCGGTTTAATCATCCAACGACGTGTTGTTTGACCGAGAGAAAGGCCGAAGCGGCGCTGTCTCCGTGTAAATGGCGTCTAACGGTAAGAGAAACGGGCAAATCTGTCTGGGGTCTGGGCGTCGGAGCCGGTTAGCTAAAGATAGCATCACCTTCACGTGCCGGTGAACAGAGGACAGCTAGCGGCTAGCTGCAGTTTAAATGGCTCTCTGGGGGCGTGGCGTCCATCCTTTATTATCACATTTAATTCATGCAGGCCTTACGCCACCGTTTGTCCGGCTGCAGGACCGCCCCGCCGCCTAGCTTCGGTTAACTCTGAGTAACCGTAGCTGCTCCGGTATGGTTAGCTCGCCGTTAGCCCGGTTTTGCTGCTGACCCAGTTTCTGGTGGCTCACTGCGGTCTCGAGCAGAGTAACCGCCCCCCTGTGCCGATCCCGCCGCTTTAACCCCTGTCCTCGGTTTATTAAAATGACATCAGAGCGGAGACCGAGCAAACCCAGCTCACCTACACCGGGCGGGTTCAACTCAACCCCAAATAATGAAAGACATTTCATTATTGATTTTTTGGCATCTGTGGGCTGGATTATTAATACTGTCAGGTAAAGAGCCTGCAACAACACGGAAACAGTCACATGGCCCCCTGTGAGGAAAAGTCCTGTTAACAGGAAGAACCCTGCGTTAGAACCAGGATTAGGGAGGGGCAGCCATCTGCCTGATGGGGGTGCGGGGAGGGAGCAGCAGGCTGGGTGTTTCAGCTGGAGGGTAACCGACAGGGAGGGCTTTGCTATTCCAGACAAACACGAAACAATAAATAAACACATATTTCCAAACATATAAGCACAGGACACTCAAAGTTTATAGTTATAAAAGGGCGACTGTATCTGTGTTTGATTGGATCAGTGAACTCACAACACACACTAGAGCACAATATCCTCGTCACATTTCCATTTGTGTTGCCATTTTCATGCAGTGTCATGCTTTAAAGCTCGCTGCACACACCGATGAGACACAGAGATACTTCTGACCTGCACAGGAAGCTCTAGACTGATGTGAACTGCATCATTAAACTGAGCTGCACTGCAGTAGCTTATCAGCAATATGGGTGTTTATGTTTGTCATTATCATGTGATTTAGTGTAACTTATAGCTGAAGTGTGGCATTAGGATTCAGCTGCACAGTGACTTGATTGGGCGGATCAGGACCCCCGAGGCTCGTCCATAACACCGAGCTGGGGGTAAGAGAGCAGAGATAAATGATAAAATGCAGAGTGGTGTGAGCGAAGAAGAAATGCTCAGTGCATCATGGGAAGCCTGTCGGTTCGGGGTCACCTGATCCAGCCCTAACTATGTCAATAAACAAAAGTTTTAAGCATAATCTTAAAAGTACTGAGTGTGTCTCTCTCCCACATCCAGACTGATCTGACAAATTTGAATTCAGTGGATTTGGTGTCTGATTTTTAATATATTCATAAATAGTTTCACAGTGTTGCAGTCTGAAACACTTTAAATCGTCTGTTTTTGTTAATTATGTTCGGTTTGGATAGATCTCCCGGACATGGATTAAATCTAGTCCCAGAAGAGAATCAGTTTTAGTCCATGTCATGAAAACTGAGCCTAAGTATTACCATTTCCCATTTCTGGATGATAAAAAGCAGTGACGTGGCCTTCTTACAAAGTGTTTTTACAGATAGAATATAGTTTATTCATTTAATAATTACCATTAAAATGTGTCTTATACAGTTACTGTTGAGTTTGTGAGGTTATAGATTACGTCTGACACTGTTTGGATGTTTTATTGCTGTCATCAAAACTGACTTTAATATTAACCTTCTCTGCTTTTTCCCACAGATTATTCCCAAACATCTAGCCAGGGGTAAGTTATGGAAATCATGTCTTTATTCATTCATGAAGCTGTCAGTCATTAATACTCATTCAGAGTAAATACATTTAGCTTTTGAATTTGGGTTAAAACAAGAAAAGTAAGTCCTTGCATTTAACCGTGGAAATGATTTTGTTTTGTAAGTGAATGAAAAAATTTGAAGCGGTGTATTCTTGGTTGGTGTGTGCAGCTATCCATCCTATGGTGGAGGCGGCGGTGCTAGCCAGGGCTACGGTCAGTCGTCTGGCCCGGGTTACGGCCAGCAGGGCTACGGAGGCTACAACCAGAGCTCGGACAGCAGCTCCAGCTCCTACAGTCAGGGAGGCTATAGCGGCTACGGCCATCCTCAGTCAGGTAGAGGAAGCCCCAACCTCCGCCCAAATCCACAGTCACAGTTTTCCAGTCACCTGTGAATCAGTTTCCTTTTCCCAGGTGGATACGGGTCTCCATCCTCCAACCAGGGCGGTGGCGGCGGTGGTGGGTATGGTCACTCAAGTCAGTCCTACAGCCCCGGTGGCTATAACAGCAGCAACCAGCCGTCCAGCATGAGCTACAGCCAGCAGTCGTCGTTCTCTGGGTACAGCCAGCAGCAGCAGCCTCCTCCTCCATCCTCTGCGGGGTATGCTCACGTTCACCTCGCCTTTAATTCACTGATTTCTGCCCCATCTGCACAGGGGGAGTGGTAGGAGCAACCACAAACCTCACTGACTTTACCTGCGGTGTGAGAGAGGAGGATGCTGGGATAGCAGGAGATGGAGGCAGTTGAACTACTTTAGCAAACCTTGATAGAAGCAGTCAAAAAAAGAAAAATTTAAAGGCCGCATTCGTCTTTAGTTTTAAATAATTTTGGAGTGCAGTTAGTTTTTGTTGTTTGATGGTGGTCAGAACACTCCTGTAATAAAAATCAAATGTTCATACTGGTCCCCAGTATAAAGTACAACATCAGTCTCAGTAATTCAGTGCTTATCTCTATGATACTAATCCTAATAAAGCAGGTGCTCTGTTCTTCGTTATATTATAGGTCAGCCTAGAGGCCGAACTAGTTTGAATCCAGCCTCAAACATTCAGAAAATAGAACTTTAAAAAAGGCGGCCATGCTTGATGCTCAACTGTACTGCAGTTTCATGTGAGTACAGCAGGGGGCGCTCCAGTTATAGGTGCAAACTTCCTCTGTGGCGAACTCAGGTCTCTGCTGATCGCCAGGTATATGTCCTTTGAAGCCAGCGTGGACTTGCAGACGGTGGCCCTTTTAGCTAATTTCATCATTTTTAATTAGTTCAGGTGTGTCGACGCGCACGTGTCCGCTGCCACCTGAACGTCTCTTTACCTCTACCTCTGTTACTGCGGAGGCCAAACATGTTTTCATGTGCATGAGTAGCTGCCAAGTGAATTACAGCATTGAACAAAATAATCAGGATTAAGGTTTTCACCATAATTGAGCAGCTGCAGTTTGAGTCTCTCATATGTGAGCTGCCATGTTGCTTTGTAGTCTTTAACACTTCCTGTTTTCTAACAGCTATGAAGGCAACTCGCCAGCTCCCGCCTACCAGCCACCGAGCAGCGGAGCGAGCGGAGGCGGTTACGGCAGCAGTGGAGGGCAGCCTAGTGGTAACTACGGGGGCAGCGGAAGCCACCCACAACCGTCTCAGCACGGAGGAGGTCACTACAACCAACCGCCGAGCTACAACACCCCTCCTCCGCCGAGTTACAGCCAGCAGAGCCAGTACGGGCAGAGTGGAGGTGAGGGGTTGTGTAGTTGGTGATTACTGATTGAAAGCATCAGTGTTTGGTCTGCTGAGGTTGGAACTTTCTCTCAGGATATGGAGGCGACAGCCCGCCGATAAGTGGAGGAGGAGGCGGAGGATACGGCGGTCCTGATGGAGGTTATGGAGGTCAGGAAGGCCGTGGGGGCAGGGGCCGCGGTGGAGGCGGATTTGGAGGCCGCGGTGGTGGCGGATACGATCGAGGTTTTGACCGAGGCGGCCGAGGTGGTCCAAGAGGAAGAGGAGGCATGGGGTAGGTGTTATCAATCATTGACTTATGAGTCACAGAAGCTCAGGGCTGTGCTACATCTTAATGTCTCCACCCATCTGGTTTCACATGGAGCCGCACTACTTCTTTTTTTTCCTCTAAAAAAAAAAAAAAGAAGTAGTGATTCATATTTACACCTCTGACCTCACCTGCTTGTAAGAGTATGTAATCCTCAGTGCTGCGAGAGATCCCGTGGAGCATCTCTCCATCAAAAACGCTGAAGACCACATTGCTAAAGGTCCAGTGAGTCGACATGTGGTTGAAAAGTGAAAGAGCCAAAGCTGTGAATCATCTCTGCAGACGATAAAACAGATTCAAACCCAGTCCCTGCTGCTCTGAGGCCACTGGACCAGCTTACCACCAAATCAAAACGAAACATGAAAAGGCCACGAAAAAGCAGTGTGTTCTGAAACATTACAGCACTCATAAGAACAGGTGAAGGAAACTCATCTTTGAAAACAGAAGGTGGAGGCAGCGAGGAGAAAGCGTGACCTTAAACAGGCTTATTTCATCTGCCTGCAGGTGTGTTTTTACACATTAAGAGCACAAAGGTAAAAGTTTTAAAAGCCA